CTGGCCTGGCCGGCGTAGGTTGGTTGGAAATGGGCGTTTGCTGTGCGATAGGCTGGGGCTGCGAGGCCGGCCTGGAAGGGGTGGCTTTGCTGACGTCTTCCAAATTGAATTTCCGCGAGGCTGCATTCTCCTCACAATTGTATTTTATGGAACAATGCTTACATCCTGCATCGAAGGAAATCCTTATATTTAGAGAACTGGTTTGACAAAAATATAAATACTGTGAAACAACTTTTAGATGATAATGGTGATTTTTATGAGTATAAGGTTTTCATAGAAAAGTATGATAATCAAATACCTGAGCATGAGTTTGATGTGGTTGTAAAGTCGATACCTCAAAGTATAAGAACATTAGCGCAAAGTATTCATTTTATTGACTCACATTTCACGGATGTTTCCATTTTAGGTGTAAGCTTACAAGATAAAAAGTGCACAAACAAATATATTAGGGATAGTCTTATGTAGCTCGCGAAAATTCAATTTGGTAGACGTCAGCAAAAGCTACCCCCTCCAGGCCGGTTCGCTTCCCCAGCCTATCGCTCGGCAAACGCCCCCTTCCAATCATCCGTGCCGGACAGGCAGCCGCTTAAAAGCGGAGCAACTCTCACTTTCTGCCTTCTCGAAGCCTCGCAAGCTCCTGAAGCCTTGCAGAGAATCGTCTGGAGGAATCGTTTTCGTCTACTCACGCTACTCGTGCGCGTCCCTGGCGTCCTCCGTCTGGCTGCTTGTGGTCTGCTCCTCCTTCGCGTCCCTGCACTGGTCTGCTCCTCCTCCGCGTCCCTGCACTGGTCTGCTCCTCTTCCACGTCCCTGCACCTGCTGTGGTTCGCATGTCTTCACTGCTCTCCTCCTCTGCGGGCTCTTTCTGCGGGCTGCTCCGCGGGGCCCTCCGCGGGTTTATGTGCGGCTCGTTCCTTGTGGTCTGCTGCCGCACGCAGAAGGTCTGGCGGTGCCGTGCGTGTCCCTGCCTCGATTGGCGGTGCCGCGTTGTCCCGTTGCTTTTCCCAAGTCTCCTGGCATGTGAGTACAGTGAGTGTGCTGACCGCGGACAGATTAATCCCGGAGTTCTGGGCTGCAGGCGATTGGTTTTTGCCCTACGCACTTGACTGCAGGCGCCGGTTTTTTTTCGCCCCGAGCTTGGTCTGCAGGCTCCGTTTTCACACGTGTCTGAGCTAACCGAGGGACAATGCATATTAAATGGCATCAATCTCTATCGTCTGAGGGATATACGAGGAGCTATGTGCATTAATTCAGATCATGTTCTGCCACTTGCAGTAAAACCATGCATTAAATAGCTAGGTCGCTGGTATTAAATTAGGTAACTAACTGCAGTGTTGCATTTTGAAAGTGCAGCAGGAAGAAAAAGGGCCGAACGTGAATCTGCAATGGGTGTGAAGTCGCGTTGGGGCTATGAACGCATGGATCAGTGATCGTTCATGCGCATCTGCCATAACCAAAGCAGAAGATGGCTCCAGGGGACGTCTGTTATTCGCATGGGAATGTTTCGGATTCGGGTTGATTTATTCCCTCAGGCTCTTAAACAACCGTGGGTTGGTTCTCTGACCGCCGCTGCTGCCGGTCCCCGCTGCCGTTCCTACTGATGCCTGATCCCGCCGCTGCTGTTCCTGCTGCCGCTCCTGCTGCTGCCTGTTCCTGCTGCCGCTCCTGCTGCTGTCTGTCCCTGCTGCTGCTGCTCCTGCTGCTCCTACTACTACATGTGCCGCTGCCGTTCCGCAGGCTCCCAGGCTGCACCCGTCTCTGTGGCTCGGCTCTTTCAGACACGTACGTAACCTGGCTCACGGAGACAAGCGGCGCACGCTGGCGTGACACGTCTGTCTGTTCGTATGAATCGCTTCGTGGTGCTGCTGCTCCTGCTAATACTGCTTCTGCTGCTTCATACTGCTACCGCTACTGCTGCTACTGCTGCTGCTTCATACTGCTACTACTGCCGTGCTGCTGCTGCTTCATGTACTTCGTCATCTCTCTTCACTTCGCTTCTCTTACTGAAACACTAAACAGCTACAACATATTCTACTGCCGTGGCTTTGATACAGGGTTTTGCCGTTATTATCTACGGATGCTGCAGCTGCTGCTGCCGCGGCTGATACAGGTCGTTGCCGTTATTATCTGAGGTTACTGCTGCTGCCGCTGCTGCTACTGCTACTGCTGCAACCCACCCCTCAGAAGCTTATCCTGCTTCTAATGGATGCAGCCCGGCCGAGTATGCCGCGCGGCACTGGACTCGCTCCCAGGGTCACTTCGGCGGTCGTGCTTCATCTCTCTACTTAATCTTCTGATTCTATCAGATGCAGCTGGCCGAGTAGCTGCGCTGAGCCGTCAATCGGACTCCTAATCAAAGGCATCCATACCGTGTTCTTCACTCTTCTGATCGCAGGCTCCCAATCATGCTGCCCATTCCTGCAGCGGCACTGAACTCCGGCTCATCTTCCAGGTACATGTCTGCCATCCTCGCAGCATCTTCCTGCTCGCCTTCCATGGCTTCTCTGCATAAGCGTTTCACTACTGCACACTCAACCTTCGTGCGGTCCGAGACACGGCTTTTCCCGACCATCCTACTATCCTGATTATCTACTCTCCAACCCAAGATTCTAAGCGTAAAGGCGCCTGCAACTTCATGGCCCTCTCCGATACGTCTCTGCCCCTCCAGGTCTCAGCTTCTACACGGACGTGCCCCTTCCGTGGGTTTTGGGGGGTTTTTTTCCAGGACCATCGCGGCCTCGCTGGGGCTCCCCCACACCTCTCCGCAACAGCTGGGGCGCCGGTCCTCTGCGGCTTTCTCCGCCTACATCAGGCCAGACGCGTCCGCTATCCTGCCTGCACAACGTCAACTGGCTTCCTCGTAAGCTCCCAGCAAAGCAATACGAAGCAAAGTAAGTGAACCAATAAGATTCTGGTGGCGGCACGCACTTCTCTCAAACACTCTCCGCTGCCGCAGCGTCTGACGGAACGTGATGCGAGCGCTCACGTTCCCAGCGCGCAAAGACAACCCTGCCGCAGCGTCTGGTTGATCGTGATGCGAGCGCTCACGTCCCAGCGCTCAAAGATAACCCTGCCGCAGCGTCCGGTTGATCGTGATGCGAGCGCTCACGTCCCGGCACTCAAAGATAACCGCATATAACGGTCACAGCACATAGTGATAGCGGTCATAGCGTTAGTGATAGCGGTCATAGCGTTAGTGATAGCGGTCATAGCGTCAGTGATAGCGGTCATAGCGTCAGTGATAGCGGTCATAGCGTCAGTGGTAGCGGTCATAGCGTTAGTGTTAGCGGTCACAGCATAGCAAAAAATGGTTAGCGCATAAACGGTTCACAGCATAGAGATAGCGGTCACAGCATAGCGATAGCGGTCACAGCATAGCGATAGCGGTCACAGCATAGCGATAGCGGTCACAGCATAGCGATAGCGGTCACAGCATAGCGATAGCGGTCACAGCATAGAGTAGCCACGACGTCTGTTTCCTGCAAACCAGGCTGCAAAACTCCATCAACACACTCAGCTTTTTGGGGATTGTACGCGCTCCATCGCAGGAGCCTCTCCGATCTGAAGGCCGCACCGGGGCCTAGGGCGCCAAACCACCTCAATAAATACTCAAAACCATTTTCGTTTCTCGTCTCTCCAAATTGAAATGTAGCTCGCGAAAATTCAATTTGGTAGACGTCAGCAAAAGCTACCCCCTCCAGGCCGGTTCGCTTCCCCAGCCTATCGCTCGGCAAACGCCCCCTTCCAATCATCCGTGCCGGACAGGCAGCCGCTTAAAAGCGGAGCAACTCTCACTTTCTGCCTTCTCGAAGCCTCGCAACCACCGCCTCCCCTCCTCCTCCTCTTCACCCTGCCTCCAATCTGCCTCCAATCTGCCTCCAATCTGCCTCCAATCTGCCTCCAATCTGCCTCCAATCTGCCTCCAATCTGCCAAAATGCCGCCACCAGTGCCTAGGTCCCGGGGGATTGTACGCGCTCCATCGCAGGAGCCTCTCCGATCTGAAGGCCGCACCGGGGCCTAGGGCGCCAAACCACCTCAATAAATACTCAAAACCATTTTCGTTTCTCGTCTCTCCAAATTGAAATACAATTGGCCAATCCAGTATGTAAACATAGGTGGGGTTCATTTAACCGAAAATATTGGAATCAAGTTTTTTTGTTGCCCTACAAATATATAATCACAAATAAAGTCAAGGAATGTTTATTTAAAATTGTACACAGATATTGTAAAAGACAATATTTGTCGTTTTTTACCTAATCTAAGTAACCAATGTTCCTTTTGTCAATGTGATGGTGAAAGTATTGAACACTTAGTTTTTGAATGTCCTATTATAGATAGATTTTGGTCCAATGTGCAACACTATTTGGCTGGAATATTCCATAAAAATGTTAATATTTCCAAATTTCAAATTTTATTCATATTTAATGATAAAAAATTCTCCTCTGATGAAATTTACATTATAAAATCCATCCATAAAACTAAATTCTGTGAAAAAAAACCCTTCCTTTTCTGCGTTTAAAGCTTCTGATCTGAAAACCTATCTGGCCTCTTTAAAATTTAAAACTACAAAATAAGAAATTAATTAGAACAATCACATTGATAATTTTTTTAAAAGTATTAGTCGATTAGCAGACCCCTGTATGTAATGTATGTATGTATTTTATTTTATTTGATCAATATTAGTGCATCAATGTGTCTACGTTGTTGAGAAATGTAATTGTTTGTTGCACACTTTGAATAAAAAAAAAAAAAAAAAAAAAAAAAACACTTGATCCATCCGGGACTGCGTATCTCGGCTGCATATGTCACTTCCGGTGTGTGGCCTATGGTCATGGATCTATTATGGTCCACCCATGGATCTATTATATTAACGGGTCCGCCACGAATATAACCCACGAATCCGACCTTCGTTTGCATGGACACGGTCTATTCGAACACTTGATTCACACTTCGGAGGGTTTGAGAACGGTCTTTTTTTCTGCCCTGCTTTCCGCTTCAAAATGGACGCGTCAGGAGCGGCTCCCCGCGGCCCCGGTCCTGACTTTGCATTCAAATGTAAGGATTTTAGATTTTATTCAACTGTAGGACTTCCAGTTATGCAACTAGCTACTTGAACTGCCAGAGCCGACTGCTTCCATTCAAACCAATGGAAATCTGAGAATTTCCCTCACATAAAGGTTAAGAGGTCCACCAGATGTATTAAAAGTAATGTATACTTTTTTGCTTTTTACTTGCTAACTTCTTCAAGTAAACAGTGTGTTGCGATGGTGGCTAGCACATGCTCTTTTCTGGTGGAACACCAAGCTGACCTACCAGCATCTTAAAACGGCCATAGAAAGTTGATTGGTTACCAAGCAACAAAAAACTTAATTTTAGTTAGGTTACATAGGTAGATAGATACTTTATTGATCCCCGTAGGAGACATTCGGGTGTCCAGTAGCAGCAAAAATAAAGTTGATAATTCTAAAAACATAATATTAGTAATAATGAACAACAGCAGCACAGATGGTGTAGCCTCTGGGTGGAGCAGGACGGGTCACAGCAGCACAGATGGAGTAGCCTCTGGGTGGAGCAGGACGGGTCACAGCAGCACAGATGGAGTAGCCTCTGGGTGGAGCAGGACGGGTCACAGCAGCACAGATGGAGTAGCCTCTGGGTGGAGCAGGACAGGTCACAGCAGCACAGATGAAGTAGCCTCTGGGTGGAGCAGTTTACATTTACAGTGGTACATTTACCCAAAATAAACAGTTGGATACAGAAAATGTCACAAAGTTAGGAGGAGCAAAAAAGTACATACAATAACTCAAATTAAAAAACTAAAAGCCTTCAAATGGACTTCTCAGAGAGTTAAAAAACTGTCAAAAATATTACTTATCTATATCATATATACAACAAAAATGGGCAGTAGACTCAAATGATGTGTTAAACAAAGTTGCAAACCGAGTCTCTCCATGGCCTCGCACCAAAATACATCTGTGACATCCTGCTGGTGTACTATGATTATTTATGATTTGTATGCCTTTTACAATTGTTAATATCCTGTTTTGTTAAACACTTTGCTTTGCCTTGTGTATTAAATGTGCTATACAAATAAATCCATCCATTTTCTTCCACTTTATCCGTTGCCGGGTCACGGGGGCCGCAGCCCAAGCACAGACGCCCAGAATTCCCTATCCACACACACTTTCTCCAGCTCATTTGGGGGGACCCCAAGGCGTTCCCGGGCCAGCTGAGAGACATAGTCACTCCAGCGTGCCCTGGGTCTTCCCCGGGGCCTCCTCCCAGTGGGACATGCCCAGAAAACACCTCCCCGGGGAGGCGTCCAGGAGGCACTCAGAACAGATGTCCGAGCCACCTCAACTGGTTCCTCTTGACGTGGAGAAGCAGGGGCTCTACTTCGAGCTCTTCCCGTGGGACTGAGCTACTCACCCACCATGGCCTCAGATTTGGAGGCTAGTGCATCCCGTCCCAGTGAATGTTGCAGGTCCTGGTTTGTTTGAGCCAACAGGACTACATCGTCCGAAAAACAGCAGAGATGAAATCCTGTTGCCTTTGAACCGGACTCCCTCCAGTATAAACAGTGAACAGAACCGGTGACAAAGGGCAGCCTTGTCGGAGGCCAACTTGCACCAGGAACAGGGTTGACTTACTGCCGGCAAAGCGAACGCAGCTCTGGCTTCGGTCATACAGGGAACTCGTACTCCCGGAGAACCCCCCAAAGGACACCCGGGGAACACGGTCGAACGCCTTCTCGAGATCCACAAAGCACATGTGGACCATGGATCTATTATAATTATTATTATAATAATAAAGAACCTACAGCTTTCATAAAGGTCGGATTTAGTGGGGATTTTAGTGTCCCTTGTCATCCTGAACTTTTTTTTCTTCTTAAATCCTTCGGTTTTCTTTAAATCCACACTTTACTGCCACAAACTCTGCTCGTCTGGCTCCCGCTCTAACTCCCGCTCTAACTCCCGCTCTGTTGAGCTTGAGTCTGTCCGCGCTTTCCGAGCCCCTCTGTGCATGAGCGACACACGTGTATTTGACGCATCGCATCATGGGAGAATATCCACTGCGCAGAACCGGGAGGACCAGACGATCCCCAAATATAGCGAGTAATATGGCGAGTTCCGCTAATATGTCGGTGACCGTGCCAGGCCGGCACATGCGCCACTGAGCACAAACCATTTATTTGAATACGGCGTCATCTTGGTTCGCCGGGGCTTGATTTGGACAGGTTGGGCGAACTCACATGGCCCTTTTGAGTATCCGATGGAGAGTATAGAGCTGGTCGAGCTGATCGGTCGTTGTCTCTTCAGTACCATGGACCTTACTGGGGAGGCTGAGGAGGGTGATTCCACGATAATTGGAACACACCCTCCGGTCCCCCTTCTTGTAGAGAGGGACCACCACCCCGGTCTGCCACTCCATTGGTAATGCCCCCGATTGCCATGTGATCTTGCAGAGACATGTCAGCCAAGACAGTTCTACAACATCCAGAGACTTTCGAGAGGTCAGGACGGATCTAATCCACTCCCGGAGCCTTGCCACCAATGAGGCTGCCAACCACCTTGGTGACCTCAGCAAGGAAGATGGAAGTATCCACCCCAACAGGATGAGGATGAGGACGCAACAGGGGGATTTAGGGGAACCTCAAAGTATTCCTTCCACCGCCTAACAATATCCCCAGTCGAGGTCAGCAGCACCGTACACGGTGTTGGCAAAACACTGCTACCCCCTTCTGAGGCGCTGGACGGTTTGCCAAAATCTCTTCGAGGCCGGCCGATAATCATGCTCCATGGACTCTCCAAACTCCTCCCAGTCCCGGGTTTTGGCCTCTGCAACAGCCTGGCCAAAACCCGGGCCTACGCTTGGCCTGCCGGTACTGGACAGCTGCCTCAGGAATCCCACGAACCATCATGGCTCGATAGGACTCCTTCTTCAGCTGACGGCCTCCCTTACTACCGGTGTCCACCACCGGGTTCGGGGGTTGCCGCCGGGACCAGAACCTTATACAAATAAATGTATTTGTAATTGAATTTCCTTATATTGGCTAAACATAGTAGCAAGTGTTGCATGGCTTATAACTCTAAAATTATGGTTTAAACAAATCAAAACTATTGGACATTTTATACTTTATTTTACACTATATGCTTTACTGTTTTGTTTTGTGAATAGGGAGCAAGGAGCTGACGGCACAGTTCATCAAATTGCGGGTGGAGAATGACAGCCTCTTCACAGGGGCGAAGTTCTCTGCCTGCACTGCCTGGAGGTAAGATCACAGAGAATGTCACTGGGAACAGGTGATGTTTATCTAAGATCAACATATGTCTGTCCCTCTGGGAATTGAAGACATGTAATTACCCGGATGAAAACAAGAAGGCTGACTGTAAACCAAACCTTCTTGTCATTCATCTTGACAACACTCAACTGGTTTTGACAAGATGATGACAAATACAACATTCTCCCACTGGAGGACTAAAACTACAAATGTATCTTTTAATATTTAGACTATTTAATAGGCTGTTTCATACATATTATAAGCTACTAACAATTCACTTCCTGCTCTTCCTAAAGTGAGCTGCGAACTCACATTGACACCCAATGTCTATGATTTATGGTGAGCTTTATGAGCAAATTTCTCCTTCTTTCTCAAAATGCTGCACATGTACCTTGTAGTCTACCACATTGACTCATATTAGTCCCAAATGTAAATATATTGTCTATGACCATTTCAACAAACATAAGAAAATAATGGACTTCATAAATGGAAATGTAGAATCTGCATGGTTTTTGATGAACATGTTACTAATAATCCCAGGGATTCTCTAAATCCCACCACTGATGCGAAGTGGTGGGCGGGTTTTGATGCTAACAAGTTTAATAACCTTTACTTCCGTATCGGCAAACACGTTAGCATCACTTGTTTACAGTCACAGTAGAATGTCAACTCTGGGTGAAGACACATTCACACAGAAGACACACTTTCGCTGCATGTATCTAGCCACCGTACCCACTGGGCCGCAACGTGTCTGGCGTGGGATAAAATATGCATGCAATTCCTCGTATTTGCAACACATGTCTATCTGTTCTAATCAAAGACTGTATATAATGTGTTGTTTCCTATGTTTTAACATGCATGTTTCTGTTTTGGCTTTAGGAAAATCCTGGAGCAACTAGGTCTACAGGGGATGGTCTCGTCTCTGCAGGCGAGAAAGAAATGGGACAACCTAAAAAAGAAGTATAAAGTATATACAACCACCTTTTAGTCTTAGGCGAGTGAATGTGTGAAATATAATCTCTTCATATAAACTTGTTTTGTTCAAGATTTGCAAGTACCCAGGGACAGGAGAAGGAGATGAGGGAAAGTCCAGTGCTGAGACTTGGCCCTGGTTTGGTCTCATGGATGAGATGTTGGGACCTTCCATCCTTGGTCCTGGTCCGTCCGCAGGTATGGAGGAAAGAAGTCCAGCGAAGGAACAAGGGCTGGAGCTGGAGGCCCCTGAAGGAGAGACCAGGAAGAGGAAGAGGGAAGACAAACTGGTAATGCTGTTTAGGGAGCATATGAGAAAACGGGTGAGCGGTGGCTTCGGAGAGAAGGGAGGATTTGGATTGTTGAATAGTTGGTGGGCCAATAAAAAAATAATAATAAAAATACAATCTCTTGCAATCTCGTGCATTAAAAGAAATCTGGCAACATCTAATGGAATAACTGGAAACCGTTTAAGACATCTCTATTGATGAAGGCCTTAACAATACAGAAGAAAGCACACAATTGGACAGTGAGAAATGGTGTTTGGAGAGTAAAAGTATATCTTTTTTTTAGGATCATTCAAATAGCATTCAAAAAACATTTTTGTTTTAACATTTTCCTTAAACGCTGGTAGCTTAAAGCTGGACTACCTCCTTTATTTTTGTATTCATTAGGAAAATTCAATCCATATCCATGCAGTGCATTGGCATATACGTCCTTTTAAAGAATAAGTAGCGCAGAGTGTAATTTTATTTTAGATCGAATTGTCGCACAACGTGGAAGATCATTTATTTCGGGAACAGATTTTGACCAATCGCAGCGGACCACTGGCCCCCACTTTCTTGAAAAAATCTACAGGTCTCTCGTTTGCGCGCACAGACAGCTGTGGTAAACAAGCATCATGGTGGGTGCGACACTTCCGGTGTCTTCGTTACTGGTTACTGCTTATACAGCGAAACAGCCATCCAAAAGATAGTCCCTACAAGAACGAAGAGAGGCCAAGCGTTTGAAGGACCAGGAGAGAGGCAACCGGAAAGCGCTGTTGACGAGACTACTTTTGCACTGGGGCATGCAATCAAATGAGGGAAAAAAAATGCCTGCAACATTTCCATTTGTTTTTGGTCGAAAACAAGTGACATATCCAGCTCCGTAAACAATAGCACACGAGCATGCGCTTGAGTGGGAGGGGAGTAGTAATGTAATGCGCATTTTACAGACCAAGGTCACCCAAAGCGCTTTACAATGTTCAGAGTACAGATATCGTTGCAATCACCCCACACCCGGTGATGATGGAAGCGAGATGCCTAACACACTGGCGCATCAAAACCCCCAACCACCACCATCCATTCCTCTCTCATTACATTCATACCTATTGTGCATGTATTTAGTGGAGCACCTGGAGGAAACCTACGCAGACACAGGGAGAACATAGGGCTGGGCGATATGGCAAAAAAGTAAAATCTCAATTATGTTTGATTTTAAATCTACTTTTATTAAAGTCACCGAAGACAGACTTTGCCCTTAAAAATATGTTTTGATCTTTCTGCTCAATATTCAAGTTTCAAAACTATTTTTAATTTGTTTCCTTCCAATACGTATTATAAAAGTCTTGTACAGACTGTGCTGATATTGCAAGTAGGGGTGTGACCATATATCGATTTTTTGATATATCGCGATACTTTCTCCCGCAATTTGATTATCGGTATGCGTTTGCCAAGTATTGATATCGATTTTAAAAGGAAAAAAAATTGAATTATTATAATTTTTTTTATTTTTTTACATTTTTTATTGGTATCAATACTTAGTATTATGGCTACATTACGCATCTCCATTCTATTCATCATGAAATAAAGCGTATTTTTTCTTTTATTTATGCCATAAATTGGCATATTGTATATGTCTAACCAATATATTAATAATCGTCATATCGTGATAAAATCGTTATCGTGAGATTATCTTTATCGTGAGATTATCGTTATCGTGAGCTTTGTATCGTGTATCGTGAGGTACCCTTAGGTTCCCACCCCTCTCACAATATCCTTCATTCGATTTCACGATTTAATTTTTTTTCACAAATTCGAGCCGATTAATTGCCAAAATTCGATTAATGCCCAGCCCTAGGAGAACATGCAAACTCCACTCAGAAAGGCCCTGTTTCGACTGGTATTCGAACCCAGGACCTTCTTGCTGAGTGGATAGCACTCTTGCGTCTCAGCAAGAAGGTCCTGGGTTCGAATACCAGTCGAAACAGGGCCTTACTGTTACTCGACCCACCTGCCGCCTTAGTGGGGGGGTGAAAGCTTTGTGAGTCTCGAGTGGGGACCAGAAAGAGCGAGGGCAGCGCTTACATTTGAAACTGCTGCTTCAAAGTCAAAAAGTAAGTTAGTCTAGCTTTAAGCTGCAGGAGTTTCACACTGGAGATAAACTGTATTTATTTTACTGCCAAACATACCACCGTTATTTCAGAGAACAGGAGGAATGAGTGCTACAGGGTCCAAAAAAGTAATTAAAATCAGGTGCTCTTCAAGAAGAAAAAAGACATTGAAAAACAAAAATACCCTTTTCCAAAGAAGACAGGGTGAAATCCGATGCACCCTGTCTTCTTTGGAAAAGGGTATTTTTGTTTTTCAATACCATCGTTATTTCTTTATTCAGAAGAAAAAAATCGCAACATTATTTTAAATGTTATCTTTTCATCATTACAGAGTGCGCACTGTTAGATGTCTAAAACCGTTACTGTCTTCATGATCCAAGCAGGATGTAGCCTTTGAGAGCTTCTGTCTGCTACGAAGGCTGCAACCCTGGGAGGATGCAGCCCAAATATATGGACACAACTCTGGTGTGGTTATCCCAAGCAGTTTTACACGCTAGGTCAGTGTTTTTCAACCACTAGTGTGCCGTATGATATTGTCTGGAATTTCTCACGCCACGTGAGAAATTCACCTAAATAAATGCATCCAGCGAGTGCTGACTTGTCTTGATCTGTGAAGTAACCACGTAATACTTTTTCATGTCAGTAGGTGGCAGCAGATAGCTAAGTATTTTGACATTTGAGAATTGGAGCAACCACCAAATGTAGTGGGGAGTATTGTGGCGAGAAATGTAAAAATTGGACGCGACAAACACATGTAACAGGTAGCGGGTAGAATTTTGGCGAGAAATGAAAGTGATTGAGACGTTTTTGAAAAGGAATTATGATATTTCTGAACAGGATTCACATCCTCCGCTCTGACCCGGGCAGCTGTGGCTGCGTTGTTCTGACAGCCGCTTTGACAACAACTCAGCAAACTCAAATCCGTAAAGTGGTGCCGCGCGCTGACCCTAGTCGTGTGGACAGAACCATAGATGCGCAGACAGAACCTTTTATGCGCAGACAGAACCTTGAACTCGTAGACAGAACCATGAACTTGTGGACAGAACCATGGATGCGCACAAAGAACCATAGACTCGTGTTCAAGAGCATCTCCTGTGTCTCCCCCGTGTCTCTTGCTGAAGCGCAACCAAAACTCCTGAATTTAAAGCTCGTATACCTAATTTTTTTTAAAATGCATGTTATTTGTGCACAAAAGTAAAATTTGGTGAACAAATCAAACAAAAAACACAGCAGGCCATTTTTTTTGGGGTGAGAGTGTATTTATTTCTTTATTTTTTTCCCACAGTTAGTGCCACTTTATTCCCAAACACTTGTTAACTCTCTGTATTGAGAAATATAAAAACAAGCTTAACCCTTTAAGTGCCAAAGTTGCAATTTTGCGACAAGCAACATTGCTCACTTAAACATTGCTGTTTAAGTGAGCAAAACGTTGCTGTTTGCTCACTTAAACAAGATGCTCCACACCTTGGATTCTGCTCCAAGATGTGGAGCAGAATCTTGTTAATACTTTCCACCTGGGGTTTGTGGACATGTGTGCCTGTAATATGAGCAGCATTTGTGGGTGTGGTTATATTGAAAGTTTTAGAGTAAATTGAGTTCGTAAAACACCTGCGGCGCAGCGGTGCGGAGGCGAAGCAGCAGCGGTAGTGGTAGCAGAGCAGAGGGAGAGAGTGTTTTTTCTTCAGTAGGTCTTCAGTACCAGAGAAGTACTTGGTCTGGTACTGACTCACTCAGATTCAGAGGAGGAAGACACGCAGGTGTCCAGACACGGACATATTTGGTGACGGGGAGACCGCGCCAGAGTCCACAATCAGCCACAGTACAGCGGCTGCCTCACCTCTGTGTAGCCGCGGTGGAAGCATTCTGTGAACGCCAAGCAGGGGACTTGGTCGAGGGGACAGGGGCATCATAACACCGAGCATGTGGGAGAAAGTAGCGGGGGTAAACAAACACGGGAGAAGCCGTGGGAAGACAGTTCTTGAGAGAAAATAGACCACAAAAGGGGATCAGAAGTGTTGAAAACCCTGTTGTTTATCTGACAAGATCTGACAAGTTCCGAGCCCATTCATTTCATCTCTGTTTCTAAACGATAAATTCTGGAGCCTCATTTCCACTGAGAGAAATAGTATGCCCACCACTTCTTTGAGAGGGAAATATTGAAACTAAACTTCAGATTTCATGACTGTAAACTATAAAGAGTGCAGTCTTTTTTTTTTTTAATACTCTTTATTTTTCATTTTTCAAGTACATTTACAAAGCATACAAACAAAGGTTTCAAGGATTGAAAGCAATCATGGTAATGAAATTGGTTCATAAACAAACAAAAAACAAAAACAAAAGAAACTTAAAGTCTGGTAACCCTGTCACAATGTATATAACCTTACAGTACGTGCAAAATACAAGCCTAATTCAATAATGCATTTTCATGAAACTAACCTGGCTTCATTGAACACCTTCCATTTTTCCCATTGCTCATTGTACTTCTGTCCCTCTAGCCTAAGATTATATGTAATTTTTTCCATAACGGGAATGCTTTCCACGATCCGGATCCAGTCTTGTTGTGTAGGTGGTTCTGGCTGTAGCCAAACTTTTGTAATTGCCTTTTTAGCTGCAGCAAGAATAATTTTTGTCAAATAAATGTCCTCTTTCCCTACCACCTTCTGTATATTACCTAGGTATAGCACAAGGCAACCGCCCGGAATTTCATAGCCCAGTATATCTTTTATGGTTGTTTTTATTTGATCCCAATATCTCCCCAATTTGGTACAATTCCAGAATATGTGTGAATGATTAGCCTCCATTTCTCCACACAATCTCCAACATTCCTGTGGGATGGAAATCTGCCTGCTTTTAATTTGAGGTGTAATAAAAAAACGTGTCAAATTCTTCCAGCAAAACTCCCTCCACATCAACGAG